AACATGCAATGTTGTGCAAGATTATCCCAGCACCTTAGTTACTTCCTGTTTCCCTCAATCACTTTGGGCAGCTACATTAAGTCAGGTCACAAGGGAACCATTTGCACACAGAAGGAGTCACTTACCCAACAGTCCTTTAGAAGGCAGCAGTGGTGAATGCAGCTGCCAAAAGTGCTTGATGGAACCTGGGATTAGAATTCACACTGGAAGAAGCTGGCTCAATGTGTCATACAAATATGAAATGCTTGTGATTGCATGTTTCTAAATTGAAACTCTGGCATCTGTTGGAGAATTTTTCTGATGCCAAGAAATCAAATGAAACAAAAAGTCAAGAAACTCTCAGGTTGGCAACCCAAGTACAGTATTACTAGGTTGCATGTTTCCCCCTTAAATATTTGGCTTCATAGCTCTTGACCTGACACAGAATGTTGTGGTTACTTTTGCAATAATGATGTATTTATGTGATCCATTTATAATTTAGACTGGATTTTACTTACTTTTATCCTGAGACAGATTAAGAAATTGAGTGTTAGTTATGGGTCAGCCTGATTCAGAAATTTAACTTTGCAGAACACTGGAATCCTTTATCTTGCAGAAAATCAGTAACTGAAAATTGGGAAGAGCAAGCTGAAAAGCCACAAGGTAAAACGTGTAAGGAGAAGTACTCATTTCCTTCTGCAAAAGTGAAGTACTCATTTCCTTGCAGGCTTTATTCAAAGTCAGTAGTAAGTATTTTCCACAGTATAATCGGTTTATATTTTTAAAGCAAGGGGGAGCCATGACTTACATATCCTACTTCCCTCATCATTATGAATTATTCTCAGAATCAAGTTTAGTAGAACCACAATACAGGTTGCAAAAAAGTCCAAGCAAATATTCATTAATGAAAAGGTAAAAAAATTGGAATTATTTGCAATGACCAGAAAATGTACAGTTATGTAGTAGTTGGAATATTTTCTTACTGAGGCTCCCTGCAGGAAATAACATCCTCTTTCACACATCTTTAGTTAACTGATTGAAGATGTGATGGTTAGAAAATCTCTATTTATAATCAAGTACTCTTAAATATTCTAGGTGTGTCCCTATAAAACCCTGCAAAACTTTCAATAAAGTTTACCAGCAACTAAATAAGTTCAAACTCTGACCTGTTATCTTCTCACAAATCTTGTGCTCCCACTTCTTTTTCTCATCTGTAAAAGGCACTGTCATCTCCCTATTAATATGGAATAAAATCTAGAGATTTTTGGCTCATCCTTTTTCTTCATCTCTTCATCATCTCACTTCACAATACACACACACATTCGATCAGTCACCAAGTTCATCCGTTTTCTTTCCAAAATAGCCCTTACTTTGAGGTTAGCTTTTATATTTGTAACAATCTTGTAGGTAGTCCATATTACATGTATAGAATTCTACTTTTCTGTCCATCAGTTTTCTAACAAACTTTCTGAACTTTGTCACCAACTTGACTTTCCAATGTGTTTGTTCACTAGTCTGCCCCAGTGAAAGTGAACTGGTTTATTTTCCAAGTTATATCAAAATCTCTTATTTCTCTAGACATTTTCCTGCCTTTTTCTCAGCTCAGGAATTATTTTTTCTTCTGCCTGTTGAAATCCTGAAACACATCCATATAATCTCTTTTAATAATTTTTAAAAGGTTACACAATACATTGCAAGTTACATAGCATTTTTAAAACTATTTAGCTAATTATTTTCAAACATATATTAGTGAGCAGAATTATTTTACTTTCAAAGATATCTTATGTGGAACCATATACATATATGTATACAAACACACAATATACACATACATATAATACCGCTAGAATTGATTTGCTAACTTTATACTGGTAACATTTACTTTTATAAGGTCAATTAATAAGAAGACTGATAACTAAATTTGAAATTGGTGATTATGAATCATATATAATCTGATATAGCATTCAGAAATCATTGATTTTGTATGTGTAATTAAATTATAAATTTTTATGATTCATTTCACAATTTCAGACAAATTTGTCAATAAATAAGGATGTATGCTAATATCTGCATAGAAACAAGAGGAACAGTTTATTTTAGAATAGACTTAGATTTATGGAAAAGTTATGAAGACAGTGCAGTTTCCTTATACCCTACAACCAAGGTTCCTCCTATTAACAACATCTCATATGGGCAAAGTACGTGTTATAATTGATAAACAAATACTGATACGCATTTATTAACTAAAGTCCATACTTTGTTTAGATTTTCTTGGATTTTATCTTCTGTGTTTTTTTTTTAATTTTTAAAAGAGCTAAGCTACATTTGAAGGATGAAATTTGGATAAAATAGCCAGATTATCAAAACACTCCATGGATTCTGTCACTTCTGTGGAATATAGCTAAAACCATGCTCTTTCTGTTTTAGTCTCATCTGTCTATTGCCTGTCACCCTAAGCCTCCCTTTCTTTTTCAAATTGTTACACAACGAAGAATTACTTTATTTTTAATTCCCTAAATAAATTGTACTGGTTAATTCCCCATGCTTATGTTGGTTCTGCACTTGGATGGTCTCTCTCCTTGTCCAGCTAGTGAATTTTGATTAAATCCCCTAAAATCTAGAGTAAGAACCATCTAGTCTGTGGTTCCATTTCTAAAGTTGCTAATAGTTAGCATACATTGCTTTTAAAACTTTTTTTTTTAAGATTTTATTTATTTATTTGACAGAGAGAGAGAGAGATCACAAGCAGGCAGAGAGGCAGGCAGAGAGAGAAGGGGAAGCAGGCTCCCCGCTGAGCAGAGAGCCGGATGCGGGCCTCGATCCCAGCACCCTGAGATCATGACCTGAGCTGAAGGCAGAGGCTTTAACCCACTGAGCCACCCAGGCGCCTGCATACATTGCTTTTAATATCAGCCATTTTTGTCAAAATAATAATCAAATTTCTATTGTATTTTGATTTGAATTTAGTTTGATTTATCACTGCATTTCCCATTTGGCTAAATTTAATACAATTTCCTTTTCCTTTATATAGACATGACATACAGAATTTAAGAAACTTACTCATTTAACCACAGGGGAATTTTGTAAAATTTGATAAAGTCTTTCTTGAAGTGCCTGTGTGTGTGTGTGTGTGTGTGTGTGTGTGTGTGTGTATTAATGAGTATAAGATCTTTCCTTCCTTTTTTTGTTTGCCTGGAGTCAAGACAGTAGAAATGAACTGAATTTAACCATTGCAACCAAAAGACTTTTTTAACTGATTATTTTATGCTTTATAATTTAATAGTACAATAAGCTTTGCAATTAAAAATAATTGGATTTTGGGGGGATTGATTAAAAGGATACTAGTAACATAATTTTTTTGTGAATTCAATATAATTTAATTAGCACTTTGATCAAGAGCAATGATAATAATGTCCAAGTGGGTCAGTGGAGCTGACTTTCATTATCATGTTGAACCCTCATGATTCAAATTGCTGGTATTTTACAGTTCTTTAATATTTCCACCAGCAGAGAAGAGAGAGAGGGAAGCAGATTTAATTTTTTCCATTCAGTTTTGACTACTTGTAATACAGAATGATTACAGAATGCCGGGGGAAATTTTTCTGTAGGGCTAATTACCCTCGCTGAATCTTTCTTCTCTCTGTATGGGTCATGAGAGTAGGATGAAATTATTATGTACCAATTTATTAAGTTCAATAAATAAATACAGCTTATATCTTTCTTTTAATTGAAATTTTACCTTGTAAGTGATTTCACCCAGTTGGGAATTAACTGGAAAATAGGAAAAGATTATTAAATTTATGTTGAGGGGTGCCTGGGTGGCTCAGTTGGTTAAGGGGTTGCCTTTGGCTCAGGTCCTGATCTCAGGGTCCTGGGATAGAGTCCTGGATCAGGCTTCCTGCTCAGTGAAGAGCCTGTTTCTTCCTCTCCCTCTGCCTGCCGCTCAGCCTATTTATGCTCTCTCTAATTCTCTGTCAAATAAATAAGTAAAATCTTCAAAAAAATAAATTTATTGCTGATAATTATTATTTTTCATAATAGAAGTAATAATTTACACTTTGTGTACGGTAAGTTATTGGTTTCTTATTCATCATCTCACTTAATCCTGAGAGAAAACCATTCCTATTGGAACTAAAGACATTGTTATCTCCATTTACAGTTGAAGAAGCTGAAAGTCAGAGAAAGTAGGAAGATTAACTAAGACTATGAAACCATTATGTAGCACAAGAGAATCAGAGCTCAGATCTCAAATGAACAGTGGGCTAAACTTTTCCTAGAAATAAATTTGTTTATATTATTTAAACACTTAATATTTATCCAGTGATGTAATGGGTTTGATTCTCCAGAGATGAAAAGACATTTGCTTCCTTATAATAAACTGTCAAATTAATTAAAAAAAAAAAAAAAGGAGAGAGAGAGAGAGAGAGAAACAATCTAGGAAGCCCGTCCTGAATCATGGCTTATCAGTGTTGATCAGTCAAATAAGGACTCAATATTTGTTCTCTCATCTTCCACCTCACCTAAAAAGCTCCATCTTAAATACCTACCTGATTCTCAGCTCTTCTACAAAATTCTGCTTTAAAAATAGATGATTGATATGAAGAGTGAAATATTTACAAAATTTGAAAAAAAAACTATTTTCATGATGGTTACCTGAATTTCCAATGAAAGAACTACTTTAAATTTTAGATCAATAAAATTAACATGTGTAATCAGGTATTTTAAAATGAAGGATCTCATTAAAACAATCAATAAATTAAAAAATTTGAAACTATTAATCACAACACAAAGAGGTAATATTTCAACCACAATAAGTATTTTTAGTAAAATCAGAATATTTTTTAAAATTTCCATTTGTTTACTATTCTATTATTTAGTTATTTCTCTTGATCAGAAACTCAGATTGCTGTAAATTACTAATCAGACTACATTTTTATGACAGCCTGTTTTGTATAGTTATGTGCACACTTTGCGTAATTATCCATTAAAATGTAAAGCATTTGGGGAAAAACACCACTAACCTTTATGGGAAAGCAGTTTGTCAAATGATTCACCCCATATCACTGCTTCTTCAGGGGAGACTCTGTTCAAGAAACAAAATGTTTGTAATGGAATATGCAGAAAGTCTGTTTCTGGATCTGCTCTAATACACTGTTTAACACTGCTCTTTTCAGTCATAGGGTTTCTTCTTTTATTACTATGTAAAGAAAGTTGTATTTACATTGGAAACTTCAAAAACATTTGTCAACTTTTTTATTGATTTTGCCTATCAAACAATATGTTAAAATAACATTAAGTATTTTCTCCTGAGTGTATAAATTATTTTATTTAAAATTAATCATGTGTCAGGTTAAGAACAAAGAAAAAGAAATCAGGTCAATTATCTTTTTATTTTTTTCTTTATTCATCTCTGCATATCCAGTTTAATTCAGCAAATAGAAGAACCTAAACTAACAGTAACTTTTAGCCAAACTTTTTTTTTAACTGCAATTTCCTTGAAGCTCTTAATACAACATGCAACAAATTTTTTTTTTTTAAACAGACACAGGAAGTTTGGCTACTGAGGTTCTAAAGGGATAAGAAATATGTTTAAAAACTTGCAATACAACAAATATTTTACAGTTACAATTTAAAAGGTTGAATATATTTGTCATTTCATTATTGGAAAAATTTGTATTTTAGTATTTAAGTATATAAGTACATAAGACCACTTCATTTTCTGTTTGAATGGCTAAAAATGACAAAATATCCCTTTTCATGCTTTTTGCTTTTATACCTAGAGGCATTTTTTCAAACTACTAAGGGAGGAAATGAATAGCTCTCCTCTATGACAATATTATGTTGTGAAACTCTTAAATTAATGAGTATTTCATCAGTTTATAAGGAGTAAAATATATCATTTAAAATTGACAGGTATATAATTTTAAAAGCACACCTTTAAATTTTTATAAGGTTATTTAATTTAAGCCATTAAAGTGTTTTAATTTTATGGAATATTCCTAGTTTTTTGAAATGAGATCTCTAACCTTCCTTATATTACTGTGTAATTTCCAATAAAATGGAAATCCCTAATTTCCTCTTTCTTAAACCTTTAATGATAGAATCAGCAAAATCTTCCCTCAAATAATTAAAAGTTATTCACCTTGTTTCTTTGGCCAATTGCCCAGATCTATTGGAGTGGGTTTCTTCATGAAACTCAGGTTTCTGCACAAGAAGACTTAACCTATTTCTTTTTTCCTTAGCTCTGAAAATGAAAAAGTGTTAGCTTCAGGACAATGTGGATGACAATTAAAATTTTTCCTTCTAACTGTCAAATAAATTTGGGATTGGTAATCATCTGAACACCCCTTCTCGCCCACATTCACCCCCCCACACACACACTCACAATGGTTTTCCTAGTGAATTTCATTCAATTTGCAGAGGAATTAGGATAGCATATGTGAAATATATTTTGCTTTTTTCCCCTCAGTGATTGTAAAGTATTTGAGATTATATTTCAATTAAGATTGTCACTAGTTGTTCTGTGTGGTTAAAATTGTTGCACTTTTTCAAAAAGAAAAACATTTTAGGGGAGCCTGGATGGCTTAGTTGGTTAATCATCTGTCTTGGGCTCAGGTCATGATCCGGATGTCATAAGATCTAGCCTTACATCAGGGTCCCTGCTTGGTGGGGGGTTGGGGAGGATCTACTTTTCCCTCTGCCCCTCCTTCTGCCCTTCTCCCTGGTCATGCTCTCTCTCTCTCTCTTTCCACCAAATAAATAAATAAAATCTTAAAACAAAACCCAACACTTTAGATTTAACAGATGTTTACTCCTAATAAACAGAGACTTTTTTCCCAGTTGTAACACTACATTCAATATATTTTCAACCACATACTTTAAAAATAAGTGCTAACAAATATTCAACATCAATCATGTTTTTAAAAGTATAAAACTGATTTTAAAAATTACGATTTTTACCTGATTTTCGCTTCTTTGCTTGTTTCTTCTTTTCCTGAACCATGTATTAACTTGAAAAAAGCTTTTTCTTTTGATTCACACATATTTAATTGAGGAAAGAAAACCAATGATGTTTCCATCTTCTCTCTCTAAAATGAAGAAATGTTTAATTTATTACATCCTTCCCCTATTAATGCTATTTCATAGTTATACATGGTATAATAAAAAGTTATCTTAACTCTGTCAGCAGTGCTTAAAAAAATAAAGTAAAAATAGAGTCAAGAGCTGTGTTTCTCTCTCCACAAAAAAGTAGAACTGAGGAACAGAAGTACAATTTGGTCCTAAGTTGTTTAGGGAAATGATACTACAAATTTGCAAAATGACTCTTGGTCTCTAAGATAAAGACGGGTATTACAACAGTGCAACTTCTCTTTCTAGTTTGTGCAACCAGAATGATGCTTTAGTAGACCCAAATGACACTGTCATTTCCCACAGGAACTTAAAAAAAGTTTTTTTAAAAGATTTTATTTATTTATTTGACAAAGAGACACAGAAAGAGCAAGCATGAGCAGGCGGAGGGGCAGAAGGAGAGAGTGAAGCAGGCTCTCCACTGAGCAGGAAGCCTAATGCAGAGCTCTATCCCAGGACCCTGGGAGCCTGACCTGAGCTGAAGGCAGACGCTTAACCGGCTGAGCCATCCACCCACCCCTAAAAAGTTCTTAAATGTGTATAGTATGTATTTAAATATGTTGTGGTGAAGAATTACATTGAACACTAGGAGATATTTCCCCTTGTTCCTAAATTTTTTAAACTTATTTTAATTACAATGAATTAAGTAAATTACATTTAATTGACACAATGGAATGGAATGTAAGTTACATTTGCTTAACATATTGTATCAAAGTAAGGATATAGATGGAGTTTTATAGTTGAAAGAGACAGTAGAAATCATTTCATTCAATAATTTTTAAGCACAGGTTCATGGAATGATTTTAGACATTTAAGAAATTTTTATCAGTCCATGGTGAAAATGGGGAAAAAAGATAATACGTAATTTTTTCTTTTCTTTTTTCTTTTACTTTTTTTAGGATTTATTTATTTGAGAGGGAGAGAGAGAGGTGCATGTGAGTGGGGATAGGATCAGAATGAGAAGGAGAGAGAGAATCCTCAAACAGACTCCCGGCTCAAATGCAGACCCACCCTGGGGCTCTATCCCAGGACACTGAGATTATGACCTGAGCTGAAATAGAGAGTCAGACGCTCAACTGACTGAGCCACCCAAGAGCCCTGTAAATTTTTTTCTTAAACTACATATATATTTATATGAAGGAATTCATTATTTTGAATTTGCCTTTCTTTTTTATTGTTACAATGTTCTTTTTGATGAAATATTGTAACTAGAGATAGCAGTTTGTATGTTTGTTATTTTATGTCCTTATTAAAAAAGAAATGGCAACCTGAATTTGGTTCAGCCTCTGCTTCTTTTACTGTTTCATGACAACTCTAATATCTAAGAAATACTGATGTAGTCCATAATTCACATTTTATAGAAAAGGAAACCAAGAATGATAGATATTAAGTGATTTATTCTTGCAAAGTCCTGGAGGTCAGTGGAATAGAAGATCTGGAATTATTAGAGCCTTTGATAACCAGAGCATGTGATTTAGTCTTTATAAGATAACTTTGATCTCCAGTAGTGAATACTTCAATTCCTCTAAAATTGTACATATTAAAAAACAAGTTAACAAATGTAAAAGAAATCTGTTTTATTTTTAGCCTGTTCAAGTTATTGATTTCAAGAAAGTAGTTTCAAGACACTTTTCAAGAAAGTAGTTGCACGGAGACCACCTAGGAGCTCAAAACATTTGCAGAATTGAAATTAAAGAATATTTAGTATATATTTATACACACTCACTCCTGATTCTATAACTTTCACTTTGAACATTTTTAAATTCACCTTAGCTGAAAATTGACTGTAAAAAGACTATATTTGAAATACCATATCCAGAGGAGAGACAGAAACTTAGTGATGCTTTTCATAAGATTGGTTGAAATTGTGTGCAAGGTATGCTACCTGCAAGCTGACAGAACTATCGAAAGAGATATTGTGAAAATATGGACGCAAGGAAACTGCAATAAAGGCCTGCATAAAGGTGTAAAAAAGAATTAGAAGATGTGTGTATTTACTCTTTGTGTATGCAAAGAGGTGGAAACTGGAGAGGAAGAAAACAGGTGGATGCTGCAGGGTGACCAGCTAATAATCACTTTCGGGTGCAATTATCTCTTAAATACATATTTGAAATGAGAACAAATTGTCTTTTAAATTTACCTACATATTTAACATTTCCAGCTTTCTTCACTTTGTGCAGAAGTGCACAAGTCCATCTGGAACATTGTCCTTTAGCTTTATGACCTTTAACATTTTCTGAAATGAAGGTCTGCTGAAAACACATTTGCTTAGCTCTTGATATTCTGAAAATATTTCTTTAAATTTTTTTTTCCTCTTCAGTTTGAAGGACATTTTCACAGGATAGAATTCTAGATTGACAGTTGCTTCTTTTTTTTTTTTTTTTTTTTTTAATCTTCAGCAATTTTCAAGATGTTGCATTGTTGTCTTCTGGCCGCCATTTCTCCTGTTGAGAAGTCACTGGTAATTTGTTTAATAGACTTCCATTTTAATATAAGAGTGTGACCACTTTTCAGATTTCTTCTTTATCTTTGATTTTTAAAGATTTGGTTAATATATGAAAGGTGTTAATTCTACTTGGGATTTATTGAGTTTTTGGATTTGTGGGTTTATAGGTTTTGTCAAAGTTAGAAACTTTTGGGTATTAGCTCTCCACTTTGTTGCCATTTATCTCAACTTCAGAGACTCAAATTACAAATATGTTTGACCCCTTGACACTGCTTCACTGGTCACTTAGGAAATATTCAATTTTTTGCTTCTTTTCTCTCTATTTCTCAGACACTTTTCATTGCAGTGTCTTCAAGAATATTCACTGATCCTTTCTTATCTCAGTGCCTTATTTGTTTTAAGCTTAAAACAAGGCACTGTGGCAAGAAAAGATCAGTGAATTTTTTTATCTTCTTTTTTATGTATTACTTGAACATATTGAAAATACCTATACTGAAGCTCTTTTCTGAAAATTTCATCTCTGTGTTCTTGGGTCTGCTTTCATATAGGATTTTCTTCCTGATGATAACACATTTTCCCAATCCATCAGATGTCTAATAACACTTTATTGGATGCCAGACATTTGAATTTCATGATATTAAATATCAGGATTTTGTTAGTCTTCATTTAATGATGATGGAGTTGAAACTGACCAGCAGTTATTTAAGTATCAACTTTGTCTTTAAAGACTTTTATTTAAACTTTGGTATCGTGGACATAGACTAGCCTTAATTATTAAAGTATGATGAATCCTAATTTATAATGAATTACCAGGGTCTTCATTAAAACTTTCCTATATTTGAATATTAAGAAATTGAATGTCCTCAGCCCTGTGTGATCTCCAAAAATTATTAACTTATATCTTATGGTAAGTATTCTTTGCCAATACTCATGGAGTTTTATCCTGCATGTGAGCTGCTTGGTATTAAGCCAGACTCAAAGGTAACCTTGCACAAATTTCTTGAACTCTAATACTTTGTCTTGCAAATTCGCAACTTTGCAAAAAAAAAGTCCTCTTGCTGTCACTATTTTCTCAACTTAAAATAGTACTTTTTTTCTCTATTTAAGGAGTACCCTGTAAACCTCTCAGTCTCTAAATGAGACTGATACTTCTTCCCTGCACTGAAGTCTTTTAAGAAAGTGGTTGAAGCTGTATGGCTCACTTCATCTCTCTCTCATCTGTTAATGGATTACAGATTTTTCAGTGCCTAAAAACAGTTGTATTACATTTTTTTCAGTTTTCTAGTTTGTTATGGCAGAAAGTAACATGTTTGATAGCTAATCCATCATGATCATTGCCATCTTTTACCTGAGATGTATATGTCCAGTTATCTTATTGAATTCTATTATTGCTATTATTGCTCATAGAATTATTCACAGATTTTTAAATCAGTTTTCTTAATTTATCAATAAATAGATTCTTTATAAATAGTATTAGTTTCTACCACCCTTTTAAAATTGTTATGCTCTAATTTATTTTCCAATCTAATATTAGTTTATAACTTTGGTATAAAAAGTTGGAATTCTTCTCTTCTTTTTCTTTGCATTAGGAAAAATTGAGGCCCATTAAAATGAGGCTGAGTTTCAGGGGTGCCTGGTTGGCTCAGTTGGTTAAGCATCCAACTCTTGGTTTTAGATCAGGTCATGATCTCAGGCAGGGTTGTGAGACTGAGTTCCTTGTCTTCTGGCTCTGTGCTCAGCAGGGAGTCTCCTTGAGATTCCCTCCCTCTACCCATCCCCCAACTTAAGCTTTCTCTCTCTCTCTTTCTCCTTTTCTCTCAAATAAATAAATAAATAAATAAACCTTTTAAAAGTAAATAAATAGAAATAAATAAAATGAGGCTGGGTTTCATACTTATCTCTTGTGAACTTACACAATATATAACATAGTTGTATTCCTTATTCTCCTTATTATAACTCCATATGGAATTTAAACTTGGTACATTTCTTGTTTATTTTCTCTTGATACACTTCTGTTGTGAAATTAGTTTTCTTGTACTTTTAGAATGAACTTGGATTCAAGGAAGATTTTTTAGCTTTATTTAATTCAGCAATCACAGTGGAGGTAGTATTATTTTGAGAATAATTTTAAAAATGGTTAATTAGTGGATGTTCTAATTTATCATTCCCTGTCACAATGAGAAACTGAATTCATAGGGTGAAATAAGGGGCACACAGTTGCATTTGGAAAGAGTTTAATTAAAATTTCTGTGGTCTTGAAATTTGATTGCAAGTATCACTATAAATTTAGCAAGTTGATACTGGTTGTCCATAGTTTCTAGTCTTTTATAAAGATAGGATATATATTTTTCCTACCTGTTAATATTTTTTACCTCTTTATACTTTAAAGACCTCAATATAATTATTAATTCATTAGCAATAAGACCCAGATTATAGTCTTGAAATGTCATTTTTCTCTAATAGCAACCTAAATTTAGTAGAGATATTGCTGAGGTCTGAGATAGGAGATGTGTAAGCCTCGCCTGGTCCATCTTGTCATATTAGTTAGCAAGAAAGCTATCAAAGACTAATGGAGTCAATTCAAAAGATATTCAAGGGCTGACATTGCAAGTCTTCCACTAAGCAAAATGAGACCATTCAAATTTCAATAATTTTAATAATTAGAATGGATTGTACAGATCA